TTGTTTCGGATTCGACTTAGGTCAGTCGAGGACCGAAGTAAAGCGCCGGTTGTGCCTTGCGCAAGGCAGAGGAGGAGTGAGGAGGAAATGAGTAGCCACGAGGTTAGATGGAGATCAAGTTGTATGAGTCACTAAGTTTTATGATAGTTATTTATTAACTTGTAAAGCTGTCGGTGCACAGTTCGCCCGGTCTCACGTTAAGCGAAATTCGGAAATCTTCTGCGAGCTCGTGTGCCGAGGGCCGTATATAGCGCGGCGGAAATCTTGCCGAGAATCTAATCGATCCTCAATCGACGGAAATCTTGCCGCGAAACGACGGAAATCTTGACTGCGCGACCCTGAGCTCGTTTACGCGCGCGGCTGAGACCGACGGCTTACTTTAAAGGACGATTCACACTTAACAAAGATTAAATTAACAAAAGATTAAAGTTAGAGTCCGAACGTCGCGCGAGCGTTCGGAGAGCGCAATTTACGGCTATATTAGCTTGACGTTAACGACTCTCGGTCGACAATCCACTCGGTTTTGCCCAGTCGCGAGCGATGCAAGACAGTTTTTGGTCGGCAAGCGAGTCACTAGAGCCTGGAACGCGTAACGATAATGAACGAGCGACAGCTCGTGGAGACGCGATCCAGGAGAAGGAATCTCACGGATTCCGATTACGAGCTGTGATATCCCAAGTGGGATGTGAGCTCGAGAGAACCCGCCGCGATTTAACTGACCGACTAAGTTGATTCGCACTGATTAGCGTTCGGAAGAATTATACAGTCGAAGAGAAGAGCCGCTTTGAGCGGTCACATTTATACCGAATTTTGAAAAGGCAACGACGCGAGTGGATTGGACCAGCGAAGCAAGGCGAAAAACGGTTTTCGCCACGAGAGAGAGTCTACATTACCTTATTTAGGCATTAGTCGGATGACAAGAGCTTTTCGCGGCGCGAGCCGCCCGCCGATTCGCGGAATCCTTGTTTATGCGATCCGTTGCTATGACGATCGCTTGGATCCTTACGCCGGCTGACGGCTCGCTGGCCTCGCGATGCTGGGATCGCACGTGATACAAACGTGCGATCAACATCGAAAGGACAAAGTGAGTCGCTTGTGTGCCGAATTAGAGAATCGAATAATGTTTGTTTTAAATAAATGCTTGCCGCAGCGGTCACCGGTCCCCGCTGACGTGAGGTTAACCGTCGAATTTGTTAGAATCTCGAACAATTCTT